CTTTGATTTATACTTTGAATCAAGCTTCAGCTGAAACGCGCAAGAAGATTATCTATATCGTGAAAAATCAAAATACGGATACCGAGCAAGTAACTTGGATCATCGACCAAATTCGTGAAAGCGGGGGATTGAAATATGCCGAACAATACATGCAGCAATACATTCGGGAGGCATTAGATTTATTGGATACATTCTCTGATTCTCCGGCCCGTAGTGCGTTTAAAGAGTTGATTCATTTCGTGGTTACACGCAGAAGCTAATTCAGTAGCGGATTTTCTTTGCTAGCAGGGAAGCCATCTCAAAAAGTCGTTCTCAAAAAACACCTTCCTTTTTTTACATTCGCATAAAATATCAACACATGGCAAAAGTAAAAGTGGGTTTGGTGCAAATGACTTGCGTGAAAGATGTAGCGCAAAATATGGCGCGTGCTATTCAAGGCATTCGCGATGCAGCAAAAGATGGAGCACAAATTATTTGTTTGCAAGAACTCTTTACATCCCTTTATTTTTGTGATGTTGAAGATCACGAGAACTTCAAATTAGCGGAAAGTATTCCCGGTACATCAACTGAAATATTGTCACCAATTGCCAAAGAATTAGGTGTGGTGATTATTGCATCTTTATTCGAAAAGCGAACAGAAGGTTTATACCATAACACAACAGCTGTAATTGATGCCGATGGCGCCTATTTAGGAAAGTATAGAAAAATGCATATTCCAGATGATCCGGCATTTTACGAGAAGTTTTATTTCACACCTGGCGATTTGGGGTATAAAGTTTTCCAAACCAAATTTGCCAAAATTGGCGTGTTGATTTGTTGGGATCAATGGTATCCGGAAGGCGCAAGAATTACGGCTTTGATGGGTGCTGAGATTTTGTTTTTCCCAACTGCCATTGGTTGGGCTACTTCGCAAGATGAGGCAACAAACGAAGAACAATACAATGCATGGCAAACCATTCAACGCTCGCATGCAGTAGCTAATGGCGTACATGTAGTGAGTGTAAATCGCGTTGGTTTTGAACAAGATGGTGCCATGAAATTCTGGGGTGGAAGTTTCGTCAGTAATCCTTTTGGAAAGTTATTGTATTTGGCTTCGCATGATAAAGAAGAAACACGAGTGGTGGAGCTCGATTTGAAACAAACTGATTACTATCGCACGCATTGGCCGTTCTTACGCGATAGAAGAATTGATAGTTACGACCCTATTACTAAAAGATATATTGATTAAGCATGACGCCTAAAAAAATAGGGTTACACTTCCCCGCTGAATTCGCACCGCAAGAAGCGATGTGGTTATCTTGGCCACATAAAGAAGCATCTTGGCCTGGGAAAATTGATTCCATTTATCCGGTGTATGCAAAGTTTATTGGTTTGATTGCTGTGGCACAAAAAGTGCGCATTAATGTGGCTGATGAAGTTATGAAAGCTTTTGCAGAAAAGCATTTGTTGGCCGTGAATGGAAACTTAAACAATGTTGAGTTTTATTTCAACCCCACGAATGACGCATGGTGTAGAGATCATGGTCCTGCATTTGTAGTGAACTATGCTGAAAAGAAAAAGAGCATTGTGGATTGGGGTTATAACGCTTGGGGCGGAAAGTATCCTCCTTTTGATTTAGACGATGTGGTGCCAACACGCATTGCAAAAGAATTCGGATTAGATGTATTTCATCCCGGAATTGTGATGGAAGGTGGAAGTGTGGAGTTTAATGGCAAAGGCACATTGCTTACCACAACAGCTTGTTTGTTGAATAAGAATCGCAATCCACATTTATCGCAAAATCAGATAGAGCAATATTTGGTAGATTACTATGGTGTAGAGCATTTCTTATGGTTGGGTGATGGCATTGTGGGCGATGAT